GTCCCCGCACGCACAAGTCGGCGCCGTCAGTGCTTGAGGGCTCGGGGACAGCAACGGGCAGACACGCATCGCCATGGCCGCCCTCCGCGCACGTGCAGGCACAGCCATCACTCGAGGCCGTCGTCGTGTACGCAGGGAAGCACGATGCCGCGAGAGTGCATGGGTCCTCGCAGGTCAGAAATGTGGCATTGTACACGGACGGGATGCTGTATTTCGCCTCCTCCTCGCCGTTCACAGTGTTGCACGCAGCCACAATCGCTCCGTTTGTGAGATCGCGGGACCTTTTGAGTATCTGCAGCACTTTCGGCGTGCCTGTGCTGGATAAAAATTGGTTGCTAGATACTGACACCGTGGAGTCGCGGAGATTCACCTCGGGGTTAATAAAGAGGAAAGCTTCCGATGGGGATTCACGGCAGAGGTTGCCGCTCAACTGCAGCCAGGAGTTGTAGTAGATGTTGTAGGAGTGGCTTGAATAAAACACAACCAAGCTTCCCTGCATCTCGTTGCCCTGAAACACAACCGCTGAAAAAGACTCCACACGTAATGCAAAAAAAAAATACACGAAGTACCGCACCGGCCTCGACACAATGTTGTCTCGGATCACCACGGCAGAGTTGTTCAGTACACTCAGTGACAAGGACTCGCTAGACCCTTCAAGATATATCAACGTACTGCCAGCCATATGAAACGTGTTGCCCACCACCGCAAACACTGAGTGCCACCACACCCTCAGAGAAGATTCAACGACGTAAATGGCGCTTGACGATGCCGTCACGCTCTGAAAAACATTGCCGCTCAGCACCACCGCGGAGTCATTGCTGATCGCCAGCCCATTCATCGCGACACACGACGGGCTGCCAACGTCCAAACCCGACCGAGGGATCGGCCTCGTGACCGTGAAGCGGTTCCCGCTGATCGTGATGTTCGTGCGCGGTGGAAACACACCCTCCGGGCTGAGCAGCGCGTCACTAAATGTGTTGCCGGTGACGACGATGTTCAGCGCCCCCACAGTGGCGTACGCATTGCCCAACAGCAACAGCACGGCACCGTCCCTCCACGTGCATCCATCGAACGTGACGTTCGCCACGTCGCCCGTCATCGCGCCTATCAGCACCGTCAGGCTCATGCCGCCCCCGCTGAACGTAACGTTGCGGTAGCACAGCCACGACAGCCCGCTGCCCACAGCCTGCGCCACCTCGGGGTACACCATGTCGCTGATGCACTCACCAACCGGCGACGGTGGCGGTGTGGGCGGCACTGGCGGCGGCGGTGGTGGCGGCGGGCCAGCAGGCACAGGCGCCGGGACACACACATCGCCGTGCCCTCCAGCAGCGCACTGGCACTTGCAGTCAATGACAGCCGTCGTCAGCGGAGCAAAGCAGTCGCCCTCCTTCGTGCACTGCCCGCACGCGGCAACCGTCGTCACGTTGGTGATGCTGTTCAGCTCCAGTTCTGCTGCCGTCATAAAAACTCTTCCCGCGACCGTCAGACACCCAGCAACGAACCGGTAGCCAGCGTTAACCCGCGATAGCAAAGACACCGACAACCCCGTAAAGCCCATCTTGCAGCCCGTCAGCGTCACCACACTGCTGCCGTCGATGCTTACAAAAGCAGAGCCACTGTCGTAGAACATCGCACCCACTCCAACGTCGTTGTCGCGCCAATCCAGCCAGCTTGACCGCTGGACGGTCCACGAGCCGTCTGCAAGGATGACGTATGACACGGAACCGCTGTTCCCCACCACGCGCAACACGCTGTGTTCCGAGACGCTCAATCCTTGGAGCTGATACAGCAGACTTGTCCCGGAGGAAATTTTGTTGTTGAGCAGCGCAAAAACAGAGTGTTCACTCACACTCGGCATGTACACATACAACAGATGCATGTACCCATCAAAGCTGCAGTAACGCGCGTACAGCGAGCTGCCACCCACCAGCGTCAGCGTCCCGGTCGAGTACAAACCAAACGCATCACGCTTCGTTGCACGCGCATTGACGTTGCTGACCAGCAGCGTTGACGCACTCAACAAGACGTTCTTCAAAAACAATACGCTCAGCACTCTGCTCACAGTGCCCGGTAATTCGACCATGAGGGTCTGCACCGCGTCAACCTCCGTGACGGCGATGTCGCAGTGCTGCGGGAGAGCAAGTAAAAACAAAACGACAGAGGACCGCATCACCGTCCGGCTCACGCGGATAAGGACGCCGGCTGACTCGGCCACCTCAGCACCCCCAACAAACTGCAGCACGGCACCGCCACAGAATGTGCATCCAGTGAGCGTGATGTTGATGGGGAGATGCAGCGGCATACTGTTGAGGAAAAACGTCAGCGTAGCACCCACGCCGCTGAACGTCACACCCACGTAGCAGTGGTGCGTCTTCCACATGGTCAGCGTGAGGTTCGTCAGCGTCTTGTTCACCACGCAGCTCGTGTCACCGTCAACGGCTCTCTCCGGCAAGGGCGGCACAACCGTGTCGGGCACCTCGAAGGGAAGACACGACGCGCCATGCCATCCGTCCTTGCAGCTGCACGAGCACGAGCCGCGGTCCACCAACTCCGTCCCTGGCATGTAGCACGCCGCGTCGTCGTTGCACGTGCCACACCCGAATACCACCACGTCCTCCGGAAACACATCGTCGTACGACACCTCCTCATCGTCCTGCAGGTTGCACCCAACCACAAAACGCGCGGGTAACGTCACGACAATGCTCGACGGGAGAAATTTGGCGAATGAAACCCTCGAGCCCACCTGACCGTTGTGTGCAAGCGCCACAGTAGTGCCGCTGCCCGACAGCTGAATTTCGTGCCAGGAATAAGGAATAGTTAATACTGAGGCTGCACCCACGCTATTGCCCTCCACACGCCACTGCGCACCGCCCTCGACTGTCAAAGAGCCATACAAATACACCAGCGCAGAAGTCGAAACCTTCGTGCTGCCAATAAAGGCGCAGTCCGCCACTCGCAGCAGCCCCGCGGAGCTCACGGTGGTCCCCTCATAAAAATAAATGCCATTTACTGCGTTCATCGTGTTGTTCTCCACGTCAATGTAGCCGCCGTTCTTCACGTCAACAGCGTAAACGCAAAAGGCTGATTCCGCACCGTGATCCTCCTCCGTTACCCTCAGCGTATTCCCCTTCACAATGATCCCGCCACCATCAACAACAACACTAAAGAAATTAATTGAGTGAACATTTCCCTCGATGCGGTTGTCAAGTAGCAGCAGCGTCGAGTTCACCCAAAAAAAAACCTTTAAAAATAAAATGGCGTGGCTCGACGTCGTCACAAACGTACTGCCTACCACCAGTATCTGGGAGCTCGCACCAAAATCACCCTCAAACGCAAACTCACCAGCATCCAATACCGAGGATGTCACGTTCACGTGCACACGCGCACCACTCCCCTTGATCAACAGGCCCATGAGAACGCATTGCAGCAGTGTGATGTTGAGTGTCTGTTGTGGCGCGTCAAAATACGACAGGTCCAGCACAATCGCGGCGGTGAAGGTCACGTTGACAAAGCACAGACCACGCACACCGGGAGCCGGGACTTCCACGGAGCTGATGCTGCCACCGTGCACGCAGCGGACCTCCGTGTCCTTCGCGTCGGGGAGCGGGAGCGGCCCAAGGCCGTCCGGAACCGCAGCTGGCAGACACGTGTCACCGTAGCCGCCAGCAGCGCACTCACACTCACAGCCGCTGATGCTGCTCGTCCTCGCTGCAAAGCACACGGCGTCCACAGTGCACGCGCCACAGTCCAGTGCCGCCACGGGTGCTCCAATATTGAGGTCGTCTTCGTAATTCGTCACAGGTGAGCCCCTTAGCTCGTTGCACATGCCGTAGATTATCGGGCGCGAGTCGGATGGTGGTGGCCAGTTGCTTGTCATGTGTGCAATGGTCGACGAGTACGAGCCGTACGTGAGTTTGTTGTGAAATATCGACCACACACTCTGGTCGCAGAACACCACGCCGTTCTCCTTGGCCACGTGCACAACGTAGGCGGTGCGGAACTCGTTGTTGCGGTGCACCAGCCAGCTGCCACCAGTCACAGTCAGCGTGTTTGCAATGAGCATGGCGAAGCCGAGACGGAACGTGCTGGACACAATCTGCAGCACGCTGCCACCATCCACAACAACATCCTCAAACACACACGCGCCTTTATAATATTCGGTGCTCGGAGCAATCCACGAGCTGTTCTGTATGGAGAACACGGAGCCGCCGCTGACACGCATGTACGACGCAAGAGCGTAAATCACGTGCTCCCGCGACCCAACAACGCAGTTGTCCATGTAGAAGACACTGGACAGGTTCACGGCGAGGCCGCGCTCCACGAGGATCGCAGCGCACGAGCCCCCGCCACACACCAGCGTCGACCGCGTCATGACAAACCGCGTCGACAGAAGCCGGACACCGTCCAGGACAAGCGCGGGGCCGTACCGAAATTCCTCGTGTCTATGGGTCGTCGGCACGTACTGCGACCCGCCAACCGTCGCGCGCAGCGTTGAGTTCGCCAGCAGCACACTCGAGTGCAGCGGCATCGCGCCATGCAGCACAATCGTGCCCTCCAGCGACGTCACATTCGTCATGTTGACGAGGGCGTGGGGCATCAGGCGCGCCGTGCTCTCGCTGAGGCCACCAATCCGCAGCTGCGCGCCACCCGCAAGCACGCAGTGGCGCAGCGTCACGTCCAGCGCGTCGGCAAACGCGTCCATCAAGCGCAGTTCCACCGCCACAGTGATCGGCCCGCTGAACACCACCGAGTCAAAGCACGCCGTCGCACGCCCGTCGCCAACCGTCACGGACTCCGTCAGCGTCACGCCACTCACGCAGCCCTCCGCACCGCCACCACCACCGCCGGCCCTCGCAGGCGGCACGTCGAACGGCAGGCACGCCTCGCCCACGCCGCCGGCACGGCAGCTGCACACGCAGTCGGAGAACGACGCCGTCAGCGCATCAAAGCACGCCAGCACTGCCACACAGCCGTCGCACGGCACCACGCTCACGGAGGGCAGGCCGGCCATGCGGTAGTCGTCGCTGCCCTGCAGCACCCGGCCGCCGGCACGGTTGCACTGCACCGACACGACACCGCCCGTGATCGTCAGCCCGGAGACAAGCGTCGCGCCAGTGGCAGCGCAGCGCGCAATAGACACGGCACCGCCGCTCAGCGTCACCCCCGACAGCGACGCCACCGACGACGCCTCGCCCACCGCCCACACGTCGCGCAGCTCCAGCCACCCGCCGACACCGACCGTCCCACCGTCGCAGCGCACCAGCGACGACGCAACAGACCCCTCGACGCCCACAAAGCGCAGCACCGAATCAAACACCTCGAGGTGCTCGCCAAGCACAATGCCGCCGCCGCTGCTCACAACCGATACGTTCGTCACGGAGAACACCGAGTGGCTCCGCAGACTGAGACGCGACGAGGACGACACATGCATCGCGGACGCGGTCGGACCGCCCGACGCCTCCAGCGACACGCCGTCAAGCACCACCGCGCTCGACAGCAGGTCCACGCCGCCGCCAACGTACACCGCCGACCCGCCCGCCTGCAACGACCTCAGCACAGTGTTGCTCACACGCAGCTGCGTCTGCAACAGCGACGTCACGTGCAGCACAAGCGGCGACGCCACCGCGTCCGTCAGCCCGCTCAGCTGCGAGTAGCGCATCGGCCCCGCCGTCACAATCGTCGAGTCACGGACCGTCACGTTCGTGTGTGCCGGCAGGTTGTGCACAAACACAAGCGAGCAGTAGCTCCCGGACAGCCCGCTCACGCTCACCTCCAGGCTCCGGTCACTCGCCGGCTCGCCGCTGTAGCCCCGCACGTAGATCTGCGCACCGCCGTCGCACACGCAGTTCCTCAATTCAATGCGCAGCGCGCCGGGAAGCATCGCAGGCACGTCGAACACCACAGCCACGCCGTTCGTGATGCACACGTCGTCCATCAGCACCGTGTCCACGGCGCGGCCAACCGTGAGGGCTCTGTCCACCGTGCCGCCCCGCAGTCGCAACACCACCGCATGCACCGCGGGCATCCACGCCGCCGCCGCAGTCA